GATTTGTTTTATTGAAATGTCTCCTGGGTGAGGAAAAATACATGCACACAGTTTTTTTTAACATTAATTGACAAAAAAAGTTATTTTACTGTCTATTAAAGCATGTGTTGAGGAGCAGAGACAAATAAAACCTGTAGGATAGCACCGTTGAACCGTTAGCAGGAATGTTCTTCTCTTCTCTCCTGGTGAGGAGTGACTCCATCATCAGCTGGTCTCTGTTTGCAGTGACTGCTCTCCGGCCTTCGTTGCCCCTCAGGGCAGAAGTGAGGCGACGGCGAGGAGGCTGTGGGACGTCAGCTGCCAGCTTCTGGGCATCGACTGGAACTGACTCGACCTCTGTCCTGGTGGAGCRTCTGGACTTTCTGCACCAGTGGGAACATCTTAGCTGTGTTTCAGGAAGCAGTGAAAATCCTGAGTAAGTCCTGGGGGAACTCTGTGCACATCCTGGGTCTTTGGTTTCAGAAACATAGAATTATCCTGAGTTAACTTACCCAGCCCTGCTCTGTAGCAGGATTACTTGAACAAAGCCTGAGTTTGGTTGTTACTGTTCTTTAATAAATGTGGGGTTCTCCATCTTTAATATTTCTAGTTCCAGTGGCACGGTCTTATTGTTATCTGACTTCCACTGATGAGGGCTTCTTTTTTACTCCTGCTCCAACTGAACTCAGGGTAACTTAAGTCAGGATTGAMTTATTCAGCTGTTCTGAACCCAAACCTCCTGAGGATGACAGAGGTTAACTCTGGGTACATACCCAGGGTTTGTTCAGCTGCTCTCTGAAACAGGACGTCTGTGCTGAGCTGTCAGGTTTATTATGTAAATAATAAAACTATGTGACGTTCTTGGTTTGTGTGAAATGATTAAATAATTCTGAGGATAAACTGGTGCTCCTCACAGCAGAAGCATCATATCAATAAAGAKTTTAATGATTATTTTTGTGACACAATGTGAATAAATCCAGAGCAAAAACTGAACTAATGCAGGGTAAAAACAGCCTGTTTACTGACYGGATTGGTTGGTTTTTCTCTCCAATTAACTTTTTTTAAAAGACGTTTTGTCAGCATTTCCTGAAAGGAAAAGATGAAGTCAGGTYTTGGAGAACATGTCACAGTTAGAACATGAAGATGATGTTTGTCTTCTGTTTGGAACTGGAAGCAGACTCATCACTTCAGAGGGTTTTTAACCTGTTTGTCGGTTCAATCCTCAGTTTCTGAAGGAAACATTTAACTCCTGTTTCCTCTCAGGACCTCCAGCTGCAGGTCAGGTCTGTGTTAAACTCACCTTTACTGAACATCTGTGTTAAACTCACCTTTACTGAACAAATCTATAATGTGAAGAGTTGAATGTTTACATTTCATAAACAGAAACATCTTTACAAGTGTGCTCGTTTCAATGTTTGGATTCTGTTTAAAATATATATACAGTATATTATAAGTTCATAAGGAGGTGTAAGAAAACAACACCTCCCAAAATGTTTCAGTCTTTTGTCTGCAGCAGTTTTTACACTGGTCCAGTTTAGTTTGCTTTAATAAAACCAGTTTGTTTATCTGGACTGAGGAAGTGTGACTGGTTAAAGAACTCTAGACCAGTGGTTCCCAAACTTTTCAGCTTCTGACCCACAAATCCCAGCAGCAGAGACCTGAGCCCCCAGCTGTTGGTTGATAAACAGTCACATCAAATAAATTAAAGCATAGCATCATTTATTACGGTATTTTTGTCCATTTTAACTATCTTACTGT